TTTTTAGGTTGCCAAGTGGTCAGTTAAACCACCTCACAGGGTCTAGCTTGGATCCCGCTATCAACCCTTGAGTCAGGATCCATGGTTGGGGGTGGGGAGAGGAACTAGCTTCTAGAGGCAGCAAAAGACTTGTGAGGAGCCCTGCCCCTTGGCTCACAGGGCAGGAAGCGCCTGGCGGAAGGTGAAGCACTTTAAAGCACTAGAACTGGGAGTGAGAGAGGGTAGTCCTGCCTGGGGCGTAGGGTTCCAGTCCCAGGCAAAACATTATTTTAGACCAGCAGGAAAAACAAAAGTAGTGGTTCCCACCAACTTCCCAGCTCCAGGAAGCTGGGCATGACTAGTGATTTTTTTTCTTTTTTTTTTTTTTTTTTTTAAGAGGAAGTTTCACCATGTTGATCAGGCTGGTCTTGAACTCCTGACTTCAGATGATCCACCCACCTTGGCCTCCAAAGTGCTTGGATTACAGGCGTGAGACACCACTCCCGGCCTCGACTAGTGATTTTTTTCTGTTCCTCTGGCCTGTGAGCACTTCCACCCATCTGCCAAGGCAGAGACGGCCCCATCCAGAAGGGAGAATGAAACCTAGGGGCCCTGGCGCCCTTGCGCCACGGCCCGTCTCTGTTCTCACAACTTGCCTTGCTTGACCTCTGGAGAAGAACTTTAGAAAAAAATTACCCTCTCTTCCCACCTGCCCCCACTGGCCAAAATCCCCATCAAAGCCTGGCTTCAGCCCTCAGACTGGGAACTCTACCCAAATGGAATGTGGGAGTGTGGGTGAGGAAGGGCAGAAGGAAGTAGGTTACATGCTGGCCACCATACAACGGGGAAGAGGCCAAGTCTTGGAGAGGCAGAAGAGTGGCCGCCATGCCGAGCTTCCAGGGATGGAGAGAAGGTCTAGGAAGCCACCTTGAGGAAGCCGCATGCGTAGGAGCGGGGAAGCCAGGGGTCAGAGCCCACAGCCTGCCGAGGACCCGCCCCTGGCATCAGCTCTGGGATCTGTGCCCATTCTCTGATGTGCCGCATTGTTCAGCTACTTCCTTCTCTGGAAGTAATACGGGGGTTGGGGGTGGGACGGCAGGGCCAGGAGTAGATGGAGCAGGGTGGAGCCGCCGCTGGGGGAGGAGGCTGCGGTTCATTCCCACGACCAGCTGCCCTTCTGGCCGCCCTGGGACTGCGTGGGAAAAGGTCTGGGAAGTGTGTGGGGCAGGGTGTGTGTGTGTGTGTGTGTGTGTGTGTTTTCATGTGTCGGACACTCTTGCTTGGCTTCAGTCACAGGACAAAGCCCTTTGAGAAACAGTCACCAGCCTGTGTTCCCACTGGGCTCTGTCCTGGGAGAGGCATAAGAACCCGCCCTGATGCCTGAGAGAAGGACTCTGGAGGCTTCAGGACCAACTCCCTGGAGGGGTCTTGGCGTCTAGTGAATCTAGATTGGCTGACTTCCCTGGGATGCTACTGGAACTTTCTGCTAGGCCCCCGCTTCGTGGCAGAGCTCTATTACTAGCTGGATATCAGAATATGGGTCTAAACTAGACATGGGGAGTAAAGTCAACCATTCTCACAGCATCTACCTAAGGAGGCCAGGATCCTCCACAGCCATGTAGATCATACAGTCAGTGGCAATCAGGGGATTATATGCAAAGGTGAGAAAATGAAACAGAGAAAGCAAAATAGCAGCCCACAGGTACATGCCTTATTTGGCCAACACAGCGTTTAAGAAATGTTTGAGCTGAGGCTGGGTGCGGTGGCTCATGCCTGTAATCCCAGCAATTTGGGAGGCCAAGGCGGGTGGATCACCTGAGGTCAGGAGTTCAAGACCAGCCTAGCCAACATGGGGAAACCCCATCTCTACTAAAAAGACAAGAATTAGCCAGGCGTGGTGGTGGGTGCCTGTAATCCCAGCTACTGGGGAGTCTGAGGCAGGAGAATCGCTTGAACCTGGGGGGTGGAGGTTGCTGTGAGCTGAGATCGCACCACTGCACTACAGCCTGGGCAACAAAGCAAAAAAAATCCAATTTTACAGTCTCTTGAAAAATCAGACAATATGGCTAACATTGATGCGTATGGCCCAGGACCACAGCTGACAGGGCTGAATAATGACTGCCCTATAGAAAAACTTTGAGCTGGCCAGGCACAGTGGCTCACGCCTGTAATCCCAACACTTCGGAAGGCCAAGGCAGGCGGTTCACGAAGTCAGGAGTTTGAGACCAGCCTGGCCAACATGGTAAAATCCCATCTCTACTAAAAATACAAAAAATTAGCTGGGCGTGGTGGTATGCGCCTATAATCCCAGCTACTCTGGAGGCTGAGGCAGGAGAATCGCTTCAACCCAGGAGACGGAGGTTGTGGTGAGCAGAGATCATGCCACTACACTCCAGCCTGGGTAACAGAGCAAGACTCCGTCTCAAAAAAAATAAAAAAAGAAAGACCTTGGGCTGTCCATTTTGCCACTGTCCACACTACTCTGCATTGTCCCCAGCAGTGAGGCCAAGTATCAGTTGCTTTTGCTTATCACATTTGAATGGTTATTAATTTTCCATGCCCTCATCTCATTCAAAATTGGGGACATGGACAGGTGTAGTGGCTCACACCTGTAATTCCAGCAGTTTGGGAGGCCGAGGCGGGTAGATCGCTTGAGCCCAGGAGTTCAAGACCAAACTGGGCAACATGGAAAAACCTCATCTCTACTAAAAATACCAAAAATTAGCTGTGCCTGGTGGTGTATGTGTGTGGTCTCAGCTACTTAGGAGGCTGAGGTAGGAGAATCACTTGAGCACAGGGGTTGGAGGTTGTAGTGAGCCAAGATTGCAGCACTGCACTCCAGCCCAGGCAACAGAGCAAGATTGTCTCAAAAAAAAAAAAAAAGGGACACAAAAGAAACTAAGAGGGCCACCTATTTGTAGAGAGCACTTTTCTACCCAGCCAGGCCTATCTATAAGCAAATAAAGATGGGATTTCATGTCCTCCCGTTACCTTTTCTGTACCTTCCCTTCTGCCTTCCAGTGGCACAGTGCTCAGTGCTTAATGACAGCTGCTGACAATAGAGCGTCACAGGCCCTGCGCCAAAATTACCCCACTCCTTCCCTCACTCCCAAATCACAGCTCTTATTATCTAAGTGAGCAAACTGCAGTTGCAAAACACAAAGGAATAGTAAGTCTTGTAGAAATTCTCAGCTCCAGCCCAGCCCCCCAGTTGCTGATGACCCTGTAACGAAGCTGAAACTTCTCAGCTTCGATGTTCCATCACATAGAGACCTACAGCATGTGCCAGACAAACTTACACCAAACTGAAAACCAAGGTCACCTCTGGAGATCAGAAATGGAAGTGACAATCCTAGGCCTATTCATAAAGCTTTGGTTTTTACAAGGAGATTGTAATCATGTATAACTTGCATAATTTAAATTAATAATAAACAGAAATGCCTCAGCCTAGTTCCTGTTAGTCTGACCCCAACTTACATTTCCAGCTTTTTTTTTTTTTTTTTTTAAAGACATAGCCTCACTCTATTGCCCAGGCTGGAGTGCAGTAGTGGATTTCAGCTCACTGCAACCTCCACCTTCTAGGCTTAGGTGATCCCTCCTGCTTCAGCCTCTCAAGTAGCTGGGACTACAGGTACATGCCACCATGCCCAGCTCCTTTTTGTATTTTTTGTAAAGATGGGGTATCACTCTGCTGCCCAGCATGGATACATTTCCAGCTTATCTCAAATTACTCCCCTCTATGAAAGAGTCTACCCACAGAACCCTCTCTTTGTCCTACAAAGAATGTCTTTCTCCTTCTCTGCCAAGCAACCTCTGGCTCATCTCTCAAGACTGTAGTCTTTCAATAACTTAGCTCATGCATAACCTAAACATTTTTTTAAATTATGTACTCCTTCAATAAAGCTTGTTTTTAAAAGTGAAGTTTTTAGGCCGGGCGAGGTAGCTCACATCTGTAATACCAGCACTTTGGGAGGCCGAGGTGAGTGGATCACCTCAGGTCAGGAGTTCAAGACCAGCCTGACAAACATAGCGAAACCTGTCTCTATAATTTCCAGTTAAGAACATTTAGCTTAGGAAATAACAGGTGTCTGTGTGGATGTTATTATCTACTAAGGAACACTCTCTCCTGCCTATACTAAAAATTTTTAAAAATTAAAAATCAGGCCGGCGCAGTGGCACACTCCTGTAATCCCAACTACTTGGGTGGCTAAGGCAGGAGAATCGCTTGAACCCAGGAGGCAGAGGTTGCAGTGAGCAGGGATCACGCCATTGCACTCCACCGTGAGAGACAAGAGTGAAACTCCAACTCAAAAAAAAAAAAAAGTGAAATTTTAAAATTTGATAAAGGAAAAATTTT